GAAAGAAAAGAGTCACCAGAAGGTGAGAATCTAGCAAATATCTGTGTTGGATGCAGTGATGTCTGACAAAGACAAACAACTAAGTCTTGAAGAATGGCTGCACTTCTGGCCATGAATTTTTTTTGTTTGTTTGTTTGTTTTTCTCTGGCACCAGGAACCGAACTCATGACCTTGCGCTTGCCAGGCAGGCGCTTTGCCGCTGAGCTAAATCCCCAGCCCCATGAAATATTATTGAGGGCTAACACAAGCCAGGGGTGAAACTAGCTCAGGATGATACAGTATTTTTCCTCAGATAAAAACCCAAGGGGTGTTTCTCTAGAAAATAAAGCAAAGGTTTCTGACATGGGTACTGACATCCTTGGAGTAAAACACCCCTCACCTAGTTATTTGGGGTCCACAGCATCGGAATACACTGAAGCAAACCACTTAAGCTCTGAATTCCCATTAGGGCACAGGTCTAATGCAAGTGAGTATCACCTCTTGCTTCTTACTCACTTGCTGACAACCACAGGTAACCAGACAGATGAGAAATACTTTTAGAAAGACCAATAAATATCAAATAAAGAAAAACTGACCTTGGAAGAAAGAGCTAAGGTGGGAAAGCTGGAGAAAAGTTAAAATAGACAAAGTCTTTCTAAGCACAGCTGGAGAAATATGTGAATCCATAAAGAAAAAACAGGTTCTCAAGAAAGAGATTCAAAATAACCAAATGATTCCTAAAATTAAAAACCATAAGCTGAGTTCAACCCATGAACAGACCTCAGACCACTTGGTTGATGGTACAGTTAAGACAAAAATGTGAAAAATGCCTGATATATAAAAGTAGTAACAAAAACATAAAAGTATGATGAAGGATAGAAAGACATGCTGGAATGGGAGAGAAAAGTCAATTTTTAGGGCAATACCATCTTTATCTTGCAAACAAAGGAATCTAGATTCTGACATACATCACTACACAAACAAAAGATAGTATTAAAATTACAACAGAATAATTTTAGAACAGCACTACACATTAACAATAACAGATTTAGAAAGACATGTGGGAATAGTATCAGTAAGCAGAATGTCCCTTAAAGTTGAAAAGCCACAAATTACAAGGTTTCACATCTAATCCATGTTTTGGAGATTAAGGTCAGGAAACCTCAAGTGAAAAATGGCTACAGAGAACAACTACAGACTGGAAGTAGGGCTTAAAAGGGGGACAAACAATTGCTTTCCATCCAATCTCATCTATTCCAACCTTCCTGATGTTTAATCATATAGACAAGTAAAAATGCCCCTCTAGTCCTTCCTCACTGCCCTCATCCAAGGCCCACAATGACTCCTCCTGTTAAGAACCCTTCAGAGGCAAACCTCTGTTCATCCTCCAGCTTCACTCTAAACATCTTTCCCACCTGTCACTGCTCTAACTACAATAAACCATATTCAAATGTCTCAAACACCGATCTTTCTTGCCTCTGAGCCTTTGCCTTTCCTCTTGACAGGGGCTACCACATTCTTATTCTTCAGGGTTCACCATGGACATCACACCCCTGGGAGGATTCTACTGACTGTTCAGTTAAGTGACTCAGTGATCATTTCCAACTCAATGTTTTCTTCTCACAGCATTCACTAGCCTACATAAACTACCACGCCCCCAAGGAAAAAAGACGTAAGTAAGAACAAGGCCCATGTCCACTTCGTTCACATCGGAAGTCTCAGTATAGTACAGTGCTCACCGTTCTAGACACTTAGGAAACACTGTTTTGCATAAAAGCTCCAAATCACATAGTTCAATCTATTTCAATTGTGCTCAGTGGTCATGGTGCTAAAAAGATACCTGTATTTCCAGAAGATAGTCTTCCTCTGTCCATTACCTTCCATATCCATTAGCCTTAAAAAATAATCTGCATGCATATTCCACCAACTTGATTCCATCCAAACTTTTCTTTCCTCTCCTAGAAGAAGGAGGTTCCAAAATACACCACTCCATCACAATTTTGCTCTCTAGTACACCTTAAAACAAAGCAGAGACCAAGAGCCAACCTTGTCAAGATTGACTGTTTTAGAACCACAGCCAACCTCCAGGGGCTCACCTGGACCACGAAGTTTATGATGGAGTGGTTGGGGGAGTATAGGGGTCTTAGAACAACCTCAGGAAACTCAGTGGCTGGCAAGGAAGACTTATCTATCACTTGCCCAGAATACAGGGTTAAGGGAAGAAGACAGCTGGGATGCTGTTAATGAGATTAATGTCCTGGGCCTCTGTATTTTCAAATGCCAGGTAAGATTTTGTCCTGGTGCTAAAAAGTTCCAATGAGCTAATAATGAAAAGGCCCACGATTATCAAGAGCTGCCTATCAATCTCATCTCCCAAGAGGGTTTCGTTCCACTGCATATTACATTAGGAATAAAAACTTTGTACAATCTCCAATAAAACCATCTACACCATACCAAGGCCAAGAAGAAACAGTTTTTTGTTTTTGTTTTTGGTCTTTTTGAGACAGGGTCTTGCTATGCAATTCAAGCTGGCCTTGAGCGCACTCTGTAGCCAAGGCTGGTCTTGAACTTGCAACAATCCACCTGCCTCAGCCTCTCAAGTGCTAGCATTATAGGTGTGTGCCACCATGCCAGGATAAGAAGAAATATTTTTATAGCCAATGCTGCTTAAACTTACAACTGATATTCTTTCTCTTGCTTGGACTTTACTAAGATAACTTATTTGTGATACACATTAAACACTATTCAGCATTTAGTGAAAACTGTGAGTTAAACAGAAAGGAAAGTAAAACTTTGCCCTCAAGGATTTCAGGAACAGATTTGCACCCAAAAAAGTAGAATATACTATTACAGAAAGAAATATGTAATGTGACCTGCACACAGTTGTATATAACACACAGCAATCATACCTGGCACAACACAGGAACAGAGAAGACTCCTTACAGGCCACAACGGGCAGGGAACTAAAAAAACAAAAGCAAAACGTCTAGCCCTCACTAGGAAATTAAAACTGAATGACATAATTTCCCTTCCCTAATACCTAGATACAGAAATATATTTGGGAAGAAATAAGAACAAAGGAGGAAAGTGAAGAAATAAGAACAAAGGAGGAAAGTAAAGAAATAAGAACAAAGGAGGAAAGTAATACTTTATATTAAAAATAATATAAAGTACCACATGGACATGAATAATCTCAGCTCCTACTCCAAAAACACTTGCCAACATCAATTTCAATATAGTTATATATTATCAGGAACTCTGACTGCATAAATTCCAAGTTCATAAGGCATTTACCGTGGCAATATATTGGTAAGATAACTGCCAGGCAAGTATGGTGGCAGATGCCAGTAATCCCAGAACAATAACATGCCAACGCACGAGGATAGAAAGTTAAAGCACAGTCCAAGAAACTTAGCACAACTATCTCAAAACAAAAGAGTAAAGGGCTGAGGATATAGCAGTACAAAAGGTCCTAGGTACACTCCTCACTAACACATACACATACACACACACACACACACACACACACACACACACACACACACACACATCCTCAGTTTACCACCAGACCTAGCAGAAAGATCAGGCTCTGGGCATAAAGACAAACTAGGGTACACACGTGGGTCTATAATTTCCCATCTGTGGACCCGGAGCTAAGTTCCACAAGTTACAAATTAAAAAACTACACGTCTGCTAAAAATTACAAGTCAGCTAAGTTCTACAAGTTACAAATTAAAACACTGTAAGTCAGCTAATCTATTTAAAAATCGGTTTTATGCTTAGTTTAATGGGAAAAAGTCACCAAATAATAATTGCTAACAATTCTGACTGCTGATCACATCACACACATCTCATAGCATTTTCACAATAATCCTATAAGGAAGATTTTATAATAGTCCCCTTGGTCAGATGAGAAAATTAACTTTGGGTAGATTAAATAATTTGAATAAAGTTAAACTTTAGTATACTAGCCCCTCCATACAACATTTCATTTTCTACAGTTTCAGTTACCCATAATCAACCATAGCCCAAAAATATTAAAAGGAAATTTCCAAAAATAAATAATTCCCAGACTTTAAACTGTATGCCATTCTGAGTTTTCTGATCATCATCCCAACCAGAACATGAGTCACTCATTTGTCCAGTGCATCCCATGCTATATACTATCTACCCTTAGCCACTTAGTAGCTGTCTTGCTTATTAGATCAACCACCTTGATACTGCACATGCTTGTGTTCAACTAACACTTATTTTACTTAATAACAGCCTCAAAGTACAAAAGTAGTGATACTGGCAGTTCAGATATGTCAAAGAGAAGTTGTAAAGTGCTTCCTTTAAATGAGAAGTTGAAAGTGTAAGAAGCAATTTTGAAAGAGAGGAGGGTCACAATCATTTAACTTTTATTACAGTACATGAAAATTATAATTGTTATAACTGTTCGACTTTATTATTATTAATCTCCTACCATGCCTAATTTATAAACTAAACTTTATCAATGAAGTTTATGCATAGATAAAAGCATAGTATATTTGTGACCTGGTACTATACCCATCCACTGGTGGTCTTGGAAAATATCCCCTAGAGGCGAAGGGAACTACTGTAAATAAACATCTAAGCCAAAATCTGAATCCACAGACCATAAGAATAAGGTACTGGTAATGAAAACACTCACTCTAAAGCCAGATTGAGTCTAAATCCATGTATTTTGTCTTATGTATAATGTGAGATATGTGAGAATAGTAAACCTTACTCATAAAGTTATTGCAAGGATTCAATTAGTAATTATCACTTAAGGGTGTTCATAATATTCAAACAGTATTCTAAGCACTGTTACTGCTATTAATCAGTATATACTGCCTGCTTATACAGAAAAATAATATAAAGTACCTAAGAATTCTTTCCTCATCTGTCCTACAAAAATCAACTGTCTTTTGCTTGTTACTGTATGTCAAACACTTTAAAACAGCTGAAAGAGAAATGAAAAAAATAAGACACAAGTATAGCAAAAGAATTATACTCACAGCTCAAAAGGCAGCAATAACTCCATGAAAAAAATCTAATGACAACTTTAAAAAATACTCCTAGTTTCTCTACTTTTCATTGCAGTCCAAGAATCTGAAAGAGACAAGATATATATATATATAAAACCATCTGCTGTTACAAAGTTCTACTGTGTTCATCATCAGTCAACTCCTACATGCCTACCATGCAAAATGCTAGACCTTAAATGAACAATAAAAAAGTATCCACAGCCTGGGGCTGGGGATTTAGCTCAGTGGCATGCACGAGGTTGTGAGTTCGATTCCCGGTACCACAAAAAAAAAAAAAAAGTATCCACAGCCTGTATTCAAGCCCACATTCTACTTGAATAAAAAGCCATGAAGTAGCTGAAAACTATTAAAACATCAACAAACATAAATTAATCTGCCAATAAGGCAGCTAGTAAGTTCAGGGTAAGAGAGCAATCAGAACCTACACAATCATTTCACTCCTTCCCACTAAAATTATACTAAAGAGATATTTAAAGAATTTTTTTAACTAAACACGGGCCAAGGAGAATTCAAAGGAGGAAAAAAAATCTCAAACTTGTGAAGCTCTAAGAAAAGCTCTAGCACAGACAAAAACCAAAACAAGTAGGAAAAAAAACCTAGAAGAGAATAAAAGATTAGAAGCACAGTGAATGACTCAGCAGGTCAGCTGCAGCAAACACAGAGCACCAATTCTATTTCTGCAGCAGGATGTGATCAGCAGCACTAGATGCAGATGGAACTAGGGGTGAATAAGGTGGAGGCACAAGGAAAATGAGAGTGAACTGAAGGCAGTCCATGTACAATGAGAGCCTCAAGGTCATACCTTTCAGTGGCTTCCTCTCCCCTACCCTGACAGAAGGCTGAAGGGCCACTGTCTGGAAAAAGCTGAGGTCAGCCTAGCCAAGTATACTGAACAGAGGTAGACTGAGTTCACTGAACACCGATTCCAGCTATCCTACCTGCTCCCCGCACACTGAGCTCCCAGAGGTAGGATACTCATACCAGGAAAGAGGCTATCAGAATGTTCTTGGAGAATCTGATCAGCCTAAAAGACTAAGATACCAACATGGGATTCCCCAACAAATGGCCCTTCCAGAATATCCTGACACAAAACTCAAAGTCAAAAGGCCTCACCACATGCTTAAAGCTTCCAAATAATTTTGGGTTCGTCACAAAGAAATACCACCAGATGTGTGAAAAATGCTTTAACACAGAAGATAGATGAACACAGACAAGAGCAGAGAGGGCAACTTGGAAGAAATACAAACTATACAAGCTATCAATAAAAGGGCATCACAGCCATAAAAGAAATGTAGGATGTTCTTTCAAAAAGAATCCTTGAGCCAGGAGTGATCACCACCAAGTTCCAGGCCAACCTGGGCTACAAACGCAAGTTCAAGGCCAGCCTGAATTATATAGCAAGACCATGTCTTTAAAAAAAAAAAATTCTTAGAATTCTTAAATTAAATTAAAATACCAGACTACTAAAATAATAAATTATTTCTCTGAAATGAAGACATCTCCCTGAAAGTAGAACAGAAAAAATAAAATGGTAGGAGAGGAAAGCAGAAAATGAAAATATATTGAAGTGAAAGTGTAAGAAAGTCAGACAACTTGTTAGGGTGAACAGTCAGAATAACAAGACTTCCAAGAAAAAGGGAATAATAAAACAAAAACTCAAGACCAAAAAAAACCCCAAAAATGTTTCCAAGAATTGAAGAATACAAGCTGTCAGAGAAGGCTTCACTGAATATGGACAACAGTGATTAACAGATCCACTCTAAGGCACACCATGATGACACCTCAAAATACTTGGACAAATTATAAAACTCTTAGGTAAGGTTCTAAAGAAGACTGAAGAGAAGTTACACAGAAAAGGTTAGGGAGTAAATCAGTTTAGAATCAGAAAAGAGTAACATGAAAGCAAGATCAGTACTTTTTAAGTTACGAAGGAATAAGTGCCATACAGAATTCTACACCTAGCCAAATTACCAATTCAGCTGTCAGTCAAGGACAGTCTCAAAAGCACCCTCTCTCAGAAAGCCACTTGAGAAAGTCCTCCATCAAAATGTAGGCAATGCTATGTGTGGTGGCACACGGCTATAATCCCAGCTACTCAGCAGGCGGAGGCTGAGGCAGGAGGATCACAAGCTCAAAGCCAGCCTAAGCAACTTAGGGAGAACCCGTTTCAAACTAAAGAGGGATGGGAATGTAGCTCCCCAGAACCACAACAAACGTGATATGAAATACAGAAAACAAGAGCTCCAATGAAGAAGAGAGAAGGAAAATTCAGGACAAGGATGAAGAGAGATGCCACAATGATTGCTGTAAACCAGGTGACACAGTCCAGAGTAGAGCAGCATACTGGAGAGAAGGATGCTGAAGAAAGCGGTCTCCACTTTGCCCAAAGACCCTGTACAATCTGGTACAAGTGACAACCCTCAGGCTGATGTGCTCCACCAAAATGAAAATCTCAACCAAGAAAGAAAAAGAGACACCATAAACAAAACCTAACTCTGGAGAAAAGTGAATAGATGACAGCAACAGATTACAAGCCTCAAGAACAACCAGCACAGGAGGGCACATCTCAGGAAAATGTCTCCCAAAAATAAAATATGAAGAACACACAAGTTGATATGACAGGCCTCATGGAAAACACTAAAATACTATTGATAACTACGGGAAAAATAAGCAACAGGCACAAAAAGAATAAATATTACTGAGGGGAGGAAAGAAGAGACAGATTAATTTAAAAAACAAGGAAAAGTACTACACTGTAAGAAAGTATACTATACTATACTATACTATAAGCCACAAAAGTGAATATATACATAAGCATGATAATAAAACTACCAAATAATACTGTAAAAACTATAGTTATGTTAGGTGTCTAAAGGAGGAGTTAACCTCAGTTTGTCATTTTCCAGGCTCTTTGATACTATTGGTATTGCTGTTTGTATCACTTTAGCCAAAGTGACATAACTGTTCTAACCAACTGTTCCTCCCGGACTTCCAAGACTGAGATTGCTAAGGGTCATAAAAAATACTATACGCCAGTGCCAAAAAACCAGGGGCTGGGGCAAGTAGGGAGGGGGAGAGGGAGGAGTAGGAAGGAGGGAGGAGGGAGAGGAGATGGGGGAGGAGAGAGGGGAGAGGGGAGAGAGTGGAGAGGAAGAGAGAGAGAGAGAGAGAGAGAGACAGAGACAGAGAGAGACAGAGACAGAGAGAGACAGAGAGAGAGACAGAGAGAGAGAGACAGAGACAGAGACAGAGACAGAGACAGAGACAGAGAGAGACAGAGAGAGACAGAGGAGACAGAGACAGAGACGACACTTTTAATGAAGATACAACCCTAGGTAAATTCATTACTTTCTTCTCATTGCTGGGACAAAATACCCTACACCCAAAATTAAGGAAAGAAAGGTTTATTTAGCTCAGTTTGTGGAGGTTTCAGTCCATAATTGGCTGGCTCCAAGGCAAGGTGACATGGCACAGGGGCAACACTTCAAGGTGGCAGAAGACAGCAAAAGCAGCAAGAGCAAAAACTGGAGAGAGCAAGCCTCTTTTCCTCCTGTATACTGTATGTCGGCTTTCCACCCATGCCATCTCAGTGTCCTCCCCTTCCACAAGCTCAGGATGTTTACAAAGTAAGGACCCTGGCCCTCTGTTAAGTTAAACTTCTAAACTTCTCAAGTTGACATAATGTATAAACCATTACACCACACTTCCAACTAACCAAAGGCAAACCCAGCGAGCAAGGAGGTGGAACAATTCCAAACCACCCACATGAGCTCTCTGAAGTAGAAACAGCAGAAGTAACAAAGCAGAGAATAAGGCTCTAGAAAAAAAAAAAAAAAAAAATTTAAATCAGAATATCTCAGATACAGAATACTGGAATAGATGGTCTTTATCTTAATTTGACAAAAGCCATCTATGACAAACCAAAAGCCAACATCATACTAAATGATAAAAACTGAAAGCTTTCTCTCTAAAATCAGGAACAAGACAAGGATGTCCATTGTTACCACTCTATTCAACATAGTTCTGGAAACAGCCAGAGCAACTGGACAAGAGAAAGAAATAAAAAGAGTAAGGATAGGAAAGGAAAAGTTAAATTATCATTATATGTGGATGACATGATACTCTACATAGAAGACCCCCAAAACTCCACCAAAAGACTTCCAGATTTAATAATCAAATTCAGTAGCATAGCTAGTAGATACAAAGGCAACACTCAAAAATCATCAGACTTCTTTTGCACAAATAACAACTCATTGAAAAAGAAACACCTTTCATAACAGCATCCAAATGATATAAACCTGGTTGGAACTGAGTTGCCAATACCTTCTCCCACTCTAGTTTGCCTTCAATTCTTCTAATAATGTCTTTTGATAAACATGACATTCTATCTTTAAAGTAGCACAATTCATCATTCTTTCTTTTATGATTTCTTATTGTTTCTAGACCAGAGGTGGCGAATCTATGGCATGCATGCTACAGCAGGCTGTTTATATCACTGAAAGCTCTAAACGGTTTGCCATCAATGGTGTAGACATATGAAGGTATTATTCATCATCATCCTCTAAAACTGAGCTGTCCACAATAGTAGCCACCAGTCACATGTGAGGGAGCACTTCACATATAACTAGTCCAAAGTGAGATGTGAGTATAAAATACACACTGAACTGCAAAACTTTAAACCACTCTTAGAAAAAGTGCCAAAATCTTACACTGATTTCATATTAAAATGTATTTTGGCTGCTATTGGGTAAAATACATTATTGTTATCAACTTCATCTGTTTCTTTTAATTTTTTTTATTAGTACATGTTTGCAGTACAGAATGATTACATTCATTGTGGGGAATTACTACATGTACCATAAATAATACATCTCAATCCCCCCTTTACCTCCACCTCCTTTTTTAAAAAAACTTTGGTTGCTAGCATCAGATTCATTTATCTACTTTGTAAGTCCTTATCAAGTTAATTATCATAAACACCTGCTACTTTATTTTTAAGTAAGACTTCTATAAAATTTTAAATTTATGGCTCATACATTTTATTGACCATCACTACTGTACCAG